ATAATTTAGCATTGACACTTTTTTGAGGGACTGACGAATGGTGTTGTACTCAAATTCTATGTCAGTTGAAATGTAACCAATCACAGGCAAGTAGGCCTCTGACGTCATGCCAGACAGAGGAGCATCAGCATGCTCCCAGCAGCCTCAGTTCTCCTCACAGACTCAGAGTAGGTAGACCTCGGTTGGCCAGATATATACCTTGTTGTCTCGGTCACTAAATATATACAGAAGCGACTACTGTGTCTACATTCAACCCGAACAAGGCAAACGAATAATGGCGGCCCCGATAGGTCAGGTCTTGACGCATTCTCAACATTGTTTAATGATGTTAGGTTTTTCCTTTGAAGTCGATTTAAGTTTTAATCGTTTAAAAGCATTAATCAATTATAAATAATATCAGCTTTAATAATGTTAAGAATCCTAGCGGGTTCGTTTTTAATATACAAATGAGCAGTCATACCTGTGTGACTGCTTATTGGTGTTTAGCCATTCCTTTGGAAAGAAACTATACTGACTGCACAAGATGATTGGTTTTCTGGGTTCGAATCCATCAAGGGTGAGGAGTTTTCGGTTGCATATTGGCTTTGGGACCATTCAAGCTTTTATATATATATATATATATATATATATATATATATATATATATATATATATATATATATATATATATATATATATAATGCGAATGAAGCCAAAATGTTGCCCCGGAATATTGAGTCGCAAATAATCACGCCAAAATATTTGGAGTCAGACACTTAAATGTAATGAATAATAATTCCTGGTATTCATGTTTTTGTTACTCAATTGTGTAGATATGTTTAGAACTTAATCATTGTATAAAGTCACGAAGCTGGGCGAAGCGTAGCGAGTACTAAGCTTCTTGAAGCGTTCTAAGCTGCTTGACAAGCGCTGAGCTGCTTGACAAGCGCTGAGCTGCTTGACAAGCGCTGAGCTGCTAGACAAGCGCTAAGCTGCGTGCATGCGCAAAGGTGCTTGACACACACTAAGCAGCGTGCATGCGCAAAGGTGCTTGACACACACTCACCAGCTTAACAAGCATTAAACTTCTTGACATGCACTTACCAGCTTGACACACACACTATGCTAATCGACGCACACTAAGCGTGTCGACCGTCACTCGCCAGCTCGGCACGAATTATATGCGCATCGACGAGACATACCCACACACACACATACACTACACAGGCTGAAACATGCCAAAGGGACCGAAATACGAAGACAGCATCAGTGATAGACAGCATCAGTGACAGACAGCTCCTCACAACACGAGCCATCGTTACCCAGCGTCGCTCACGAGACAAAAAAGCGGACGAAAGCAAAACCCCCAAAAAATATGACAAAAAAAATTCCTTTTTCGATTCTATTTTTGTGTGAGAGAGCTGTGACAGGCGCCAACTGGGAGAGTTTTGTATACACGTCTATTGATGTCTATTTCTGGTTTGTGGAAAAGGAAGGAAGGAAGGAAGGAAGGAAGGAAGGAAGGGTGTAAGATAGGAAGGGTAAAGATAAAGTGAGATAATAAGGAGAAAGTAAGAGAAACAGAGGTACAGATGCTATAAAAAAGGAGGCAGGGAACTATCAGGGGAAAGCGCCAAGCCAATATGATTATATATATATATATATATATATATATATATATATATATATATATATATATATATATATATATATATATATATATATATATATATATAATATATATAAATTTTTTTCCAGTTTGGTAATATGTCGTTATTTAACCTGGATTTAATCATTATATTTCTTGTTGTTTTTACTTTTTATTCAAATGCACAAATAACACAGGTTTTGAGTGCTGTTTATGAGTTCATTCCCAAATAATAATGGGCGTATAATGACTCCACTTTACCCTTTTTTACTTTTCTTCGCAGACATTATCGTTTTTCCGTCGTTATCTTCTCTGAATCTCGCCCTGCGAAGTGCTTTTGAAGTCCTATCTAGAATTCTATCTCCCTTTGGGTCGCTTAGAATATTGGAGATTTTAATTCACATTAAATAGCGTTTTTCCAATTACGGCATATTTCATCTGATTATCAATTTGATTTCGAAAACTCGTATTTGACGTCTCATCTGTTCATCAATATTCTATTCATCAGTCACCTCATTTCCCCAGGTCGGCGATGGCTACCGATTGCTTCTGAAAGTTTATATTATATTAATATATTTAAAAAAATGAGTTCAAGAGAGAGAGAAAAATAGGATGCTGGTTCTATCTCCCGTTCAGATCCAATCATTTTCAAATAGATAAATCGCATTGCTGTGGTTTCCTGGTGTGTGTAAAAAAAAGTATGTTTAAGTTCATCTAACTTTGTGTCATAAGTTCGAGTCCTCGGTATCATACCTGGAAGCTATATTGGTTAGGTTAGGTTAAGTTAGGTTAAGTTAGGTTAAATTAGGTTAGGTTAAGTTAGGTTAAGTTAAGTTAGGTTAGGTTAAATTAAGTTAGGTTAAGTTAAGTTAGGTTAGGTTAAGTTAGGTTAAGTTAGGTTAGGTTAGGTTAGGTTAGGTTAAATTAAGTTAGGTTAAGTTAGGTTAATCTGCGTTGGTTTGTCTTGGTCCTGTTCCCGTGACTGTCGGAAATTAAAATTACAATTTACAATTACACTTGTAAATGCGAAATGTGTAATTCTTCAAGTTATCGCCTCTTGATAATTGCATTAATGCAGCCTTTCATTGAGTTAAGGTAATCCAAAGACTGACCTCAATAATCTCTCTCTTCTAATCCCCCAAAAAACTGATAAAATAACGAGAATGTATAGAAACTACATATTTAAAATACACACAAAAATCACAATAGCGTGATATATCAAATATATAAATTGTGACACTAGCTCTCCACATATGTCAGTTCCTTAATTTAGAACCTGTACTTGAGGTCGATCTCGAACCCATTGTTGATGTGACGACTTATATTGAATTTTGTAACTAGCTCATCAAGATTGTAACTTGCTTAGCTAAATGAATTGTGGGGTTCAGTCCCTGAGCCCATTATGTGCCTCTGTAACCCTTTCCACTACCGCCCACAAGATGGGTATGGGGTGCATAATAAATGAACTAAACTGAACTATCAAATGAACAAATCCACAAGGCCTGTGTTGAGGATTACGTGCGTAAGTTCGAACCTTCATCACGGCCCTTGTGGATTTGTTTATATTAAAAGAAAAAAAAGCTCAGAATTGAACTTCCTGGTCATCAGATGAGCATAACATCGTAAGCTTTTAAGGGTTGATAAATGTTAATCTTCTTGTTTGAGGAGCTGTTCAACCCAGCGGGTTTTCTTCCTATTGGGGAGTGTTGTACATTCTGCTATGGCGGTGTGTTCACTCACAGGATGAGTGACGCTGCCCAATACTGTCACTATGGCGGTGTGTCCACTCACAGGATGAGTGACGCTGCCCAATACTGTCACTATGGCGGTGTGTCCACTCACAGGATGAGTGGCGCTGCCCAATACTGTCACTATGGCGGTGTGTCCACTCACAGGATGAGCGGCGCTGCCCAATACTGTCACTATGGCGGTGTGTCCACTCACAGGATGAGTGGCGCTGCCCAATACTGTCACTATGGCGGTGTGTCCACTCACAGGATGAGCGGCGCTGCCCAATACTGTCACTATGGCGGTGTATCCACTCACAGGATGAGTGGCGCTGCCCAATACTGTCACTATGGCGGTGTGTCCACTCACAGGATGAGTGGCGCTGCCCAATACTGTCACTATGGCGGTGTGTCCACTCACAGGATGAGTGACGCTGCCCAATACTGTCACTATGGCGGTGTGTCCACTCACAGGATGAGTGGCGCTGCCCAATACTGTCACTATGGCGGTGTGTCCACTCACAGGATGAGTGGCGCTGCATAATACTGTCACTATGGCGGTGTGGCCACTCACAGGATGAGTGGCGCTGCCCAATACTGTCACTATGGCGGTGTGGCCACTCACAGGATGAGTGGCGCTGCCCAATACTGTCACTATGGCGGTGTGTCCACTCACAGGATGAGTGGCGCTGCCCAATACTGTCACTATGGCGGTGTGTCCACTCACAGGATGAGTGGCGCTGCCCAATACTGTCACTATGGCGGTGTGTCCACTCACAGGATGAGTGGCGCTGCCCAATAAACTTGCCCCTCGGGGCAAAATTTAAAAATTTACATCTGATGACTCTTGAGCTGTTGGTGGGAGATATCTTTTGAAGGAACTATAACACCTATGCATGACGCAGCTGTCATGCATAGGTGTCATGTTGCAAAGTCTCCCAACTGTCAATGTCAGCCTGAAATCTCGTTTAGGCAGACTGAATGAATAACGGACTACGGAGATCCCAGGAAAGTGTTTAAACCCCCCACATGGAACCATTTACATCTCGCCTGTGGCAGAGAGGTCATTTCGTGGAATTAATTGCATGGTTCCATCTCCACTGCCGAGGTGAGATAGCGTATCAGATTCCTCACTCGATTTTCATTTCTTAGATTTGGGGAAACAGTCGATACTAAAACCCTGTCCATGGAGGACAGAAGAAAATGTATATATGCTGGTTAGCATTGTAAATGTGTGGCCACGTTTGTGGTAGAAAATAATAAAAAAAAATGCCTGGAAACTACCAATTGAGACATTAACTTTCTAGTCCTCAGTTTGTGGTTTAGTAGTCTAGTGTAAATAGTTTATTTAAATAGCTAGTTTGAATAGCTAGTTTGAATAGCTAGTTTGAATAGCGATGGTGTGTAGTAAGATAGTATTGATGATCACCAAAGGAGTTCCGCTGGAGGGTTGATTCTCCTATTCCTGGTCACTGTGGCTGCTAGCACTTGTTACACTGAAACTGTGGTTCGACAGCACACTAACGACACGGTGCTTATAATATAACATTTATCGTGCTGGAGCTGTAAAGGCTTTTGCCTTCTGCAGTACAAGAAACACCAATGTCCTGTCGAGCACTCCTGATATTATCTGATGTATCACCTTGATGTATCACCTAGCACATGTATCACCTCTGTACACAGCTGTGCCTCTGTACACAGCTGTGCCTCTGTACACAGCTGTGTCTCTGTACACAGCTGTGCCTCTGTACACAGCTGTGCCTCTGTACACAGCTGTGCCTCTGTACACAGCTGTGCCTCTGTACACAGCTGTGCCTCTGTACACAGCTGTGCCTCTGTACACAGCTGTGCCTCTGTACACAGCTGTGCCTCTGTACACAGCTGTGCCTCTGTACAGAGCTGTGCCTCTGTACACAGCTGTGCCTCTGTACACAGCTGTGCCTCTGTACACAGCTGTGCCTCTGTACACAGCTGTGCCTCTGTACACAGCTGTGCCTCTGTACACAGCTGTGCCTCTGTACACAGCTGTGCCTCTGTACACAGCTGTGCCTCTGTACACAGCTGTGCCTCTGTACACAACTGTGCCTCTGTACACAGCTGTGCCTCTGTACACAGCTGTGCCTCTGTACACAGCTGTGCCTCTGTACACAGCTGTGCCTCTGTACACAGCTGTGCCTCTGTACACAGCTGTGCCTCTGTACACAGCTGTGCCTCTGTACACAGCTGTGCCTCTGTACACAGCTGTGCCTCTGTATACAGCTGCCTCTCAATTTGCTCTTTTCTCTTTACACACACAATTCTAGCGGTCACGAAAAAAAATAAGATTCGATACATATATTAAATAAATATATGTATCGATTCATATATATATATATATATATATATATATATATATATATATATATATATATATATATATATATATATATGCGGAAAATCCACAGAGAAATATGGATAAATATCAGGTGTCGGCCTATATATCCTCCCCTTCTCCCTTCTCCTTAGTCAGTCTGGTGTTGACAAAGGCTTTAACAAAGCCGAAACGTTCACCTCATTTCATATTTCTCTGTGGATTTTCCGCATATATATATATATAACTGAAAACTCACACCCCAGAAGTGACTCGAACCCATACTCCCACAACTGGTATGTACAGGGACGCCTTAATCCGCTTGACCATCACGACCGGACAAAAGGAAGTGATAGCCGAGGCTATATGAACCACTTCCCCGCCGGCACTCGGATGGTAATCTTGGGCATAGCATTTTATCAAATACCTCATTCTTTGGGGCACACGTGAGGAACACAAATGCAAACAAGCCTGAATGGTCCCCAGGACTATATACAACTGAAAACTCACACCCCAGAAGTGACTCGAACCCATACTCCCACAACTGGTATGTACAGGGACGCCTTAATCCGCTTGACCATCACGACCGGACAAAAGGAAGTGATAGCCGAGGCTATATGAACCACTTCCCCGCCGGCACTCGGATGGTAATCTTGGGCATAGCATTTTATCAAATCACCTCATTCTTTGGGGCACACGTGAGGAACACAAATGCAAACAAGCCTGAATGGTCCCCAGGACTATATACAACTGAAAACTCACACCCCAGAAGTGACTCGAACCCATACTCCCACAACTGGTATGTACAGGGACGCCTTAATCCGCTTGACCATCACGACCGGACAAAAGGAAGTGATAGCCGAGGCTATATGAACCACTTCCCCGCCGGCACTCGGATGGTAATCTTGGGCATAGCATTTTATCAAATCACCTCATTCTTTGGGGCACACGTGAGGAACACAAATGCAAACAAGCCTGAATGGTCCCCAGGACTATATACAACTGAAAACTCACACCCCAGAAGTGACTCGAACCCATACTCCCACAACTGGTATGTACAGGGACGCCTTAAAATGCTATGCCCAAGATTACCATCCGAGTGCCGGCGGGGAAGTGGTTCATATAGCCTCGGCTATCACTTCCTTTTGTCCGGTCGTGATGGTCAAGCGGATTAAGGCGTCCCTGTACATACCAGTTGTGGGAGTATGGGTTCGAGTCACTTCTGGGGTGTGAGTTTTCAGTTGTATATAGTCCTGGGGACCATTCAGGCTTGTTTGCATTTGTGTTCCTCACGTGTGCCCCAAAGAATGAGGTGATTTGATAAAATGCTATGCCCAAGATTACCATCCGAGTGCCGGCGGGGAAGTGGTTCATATAGCCTCGGCTATCACTTCCTTTTGTCCGGTCGTGATGGTCAAGCGGATTAAGGCGTCCCTGTACATACCAGTTGTGGGAGTATGGGTTCGAGTCACTTCTGGGGTGTGAGTTTTCAGTTGTATATAGTCCTGGGGACCATTCAGGCTTGTTTGCATATATATATATATATATATATATATATATATATATATATATATATATATATATATATATATATATATATATATATATATATATATAGGAGTACCACCTCTGGTGCAATTGTAGGGACCCATAGCCTTGGAGAAGAAAATAAAGGGTATTTTCAGAGAAGGCCTTGTGGATTCTCACTGAACACTTTAATATTTTCTTCTCCTTCCTCCCTTATTAGATTCATATATTGAAATGGAATATTTGTTTCGCAGTCATTGAAGCTACTTTATATTTTATTGCGTTGTTTTCGAAGAAACGTCTTGTATTTTAAGCGGTTGTAAATTGTGTCGTTTTTGTCCTTAGGGAGTATAATTAGGTGTCGTTAAGGTGAGTTGTTACAAAGTTTGTCGTGTCGGAGGAGGAGGGGGGGGGGGGGAATCAAGTGTACCGGTCCGGAGCCGATCACGCTGGACTTGTGATCCTGTTGTCCTGGGTTCGATCCCAGGCGCCGGCGAGAAACAATGGGCAGAGTTTCTTTCACTCTATGCCCCTGTTACCTAGCAGTAAAATAGGTACCTGGGTGTTAGTCAGTTGTCAGGGGCTGCTTCCTGGGGGGTGGAGGCCTGGTCGAGGACCGGGCCGCGGGGACACTAAAGCCCCGAAATCATCTCAAGATAACCTAAAGATAACCGTACGTTAACTAGGGTAAGTTAATTACGGGTAAGATTACGTATTTGTTCATGATGTCTCCTGGTTGTTTTCTCTGTCTATTCCCTGGAAACACAAACCGTAACTGTCTCTATTTTCCGCTTGTTACAACTTGTAATAAAGTTGTTACATCTTGGCTTAGAGTGTTTATGACGTATTAGAACGTTGTTGCAACTTGGTATATTGGTTGTTATAACTGGTTAGGAAGTGTTAAAACTTGTTCGAACGTTGTACTAACGTCGTAGTTTCGGTGTGTGTTTGGTGGGTTGGCACTACACTGACCGTTTTCTAACTCTCTGGTAGCTCTGATGTCTCCGGCTCTTAATGTTTCTTGGTGGAGCAGCGTATCAAATGGGGAGTTTCCATTGTGATCTATTCCCCATTATATGTGTACTACTCACCTAGTTGTGCTTGTGGGGATTGAGCTTTAGCTCTTTGGTCTCGCCTCTCTGCCGTCAATCTACTGGTGTACAGTACAGTACAGTGCGTGTGTGTGTATTTACCTAATTGCACTCACCTAATTGTGCTTGCAGGGGTTGAGCTCTGGCTCTTTGGTCCCGCCTCTCAACTGTCAATCAACTGGTGTGCAGTTTCCTGAGCCTACTGGGCTCTATCATATCTACACTTGAAGCTGTGTATGGAGTCAGCCTCCACCACATCACTTTCTGTGTGTGTGTGTGTGTGTGTGTGTGTGTGTGTGTGTGTGTGTGTGTGTGTGTGTGTGTGTGTGTGTGTGAGAGAGAGAGAAGAAGAAGAAGAAGAAGAAGAATCAGAAAAGAAAGGCCGGACAATGCAGTAATATGCTTAAGACTCTCTGTGTTCCCCCAAGAGAGCCAACTTGATATGAGCGACGGGAACGAGCTCGTAAAGCCCACACGAATTCGCTAGTTAACCACGTTACTGGCGTGAGATCAGGCCTAATTACGAGGCCACGCCTTTCCTGCTGTTGTTGCTGCTGCTGCTGACGAAGCTTCTGCTGGAGCTGTAGGAGGAGGGGCTACAGCTGTAGGAGGAGAGGCTACAGCTGTAGGAGGAGGGGCTACAGCTGTTGGAGGAGGGCTACAGCTGTAGGTGGAGGGGCTACAGCTGTAGGAAGGGCTACAGCTGTAGGAGGAGGGGCTACAGCTGTTGGAGGAGGGCTACAGCTGTAGGAGGAGGGGCTACAGCTGTAGGAAGGGCTACAGCTGTAGGAGGAGGGGCTACGACTGTAGGAGGAGGGGCTACAGCTGTACGAGAAGAGGGGCTACAGTTGTAGGAGGGGCTACAACTGTAGGAGGAGGGCTACAGCTGTAAGAGTAGGGGCTATAGCTGTAGGAGGAGAGGGGCTACAGCTGTTGGAGGAGAGGGGCTACAGCTGTAGGAGGGTCTACAGCTGTAGGAGGAGAGGGGCTACAGCTGTTGGAGGAGAGGGGCTACAGCTGTAGGAGGGGCTACAGCTGTAGGAGGAGAGGGGCTACAGCTGTTGGAGGAGAGGGGCTACAGCTGTAGGAGGAGAGGGGCTATAGCTGTAGGAGGAGAGGGGCTACAGCTGTAGGAGGAGGAGCTACAGCTGTAGGAGGAGAGGGGCTACAGCTGTAGGACCTATAGCCTCCTGCTCGCGTCGCCTTCTCCGCCACCACCCAATGAACAAATCCACAAAGGCCGTGACGAGGATTCGAACCTACGCCCGAGAGGATCCCAGACGCTGCCTTAATCGACTGAGCTACGACATGATTAAAAGAATTGCAACCGGGAAATCATCCTGATTTACCAACGGATCCTGCAGCCTCTCCGAGACACAAACCCAATATCTGCACTAATGTAAATATTTTATTGATAAATGGAGGTGCGGTGAGGTGATGGTCGGAGGGGCAGAGAGGTGATGGAGTGAGAAGCATGTTGTTGTTGTTATAGATTCAGCTACTCGGAACTAGTTCCAAGTAGCACGGGCTATGGTGAGCCCATAACTTACCTGGTACAGGAGCGGGGCAAGTAGCACGGGCTATGGTGAGCCCGTAGTGGACTTACCTGGCACAGGGGCGGTGCTGGTGAGAAGCAGTGAGATGTCCCTTATGTTCTGCAGCTTCCATTACTCTTGTGTTCTAAAGATACGTTGACCAGACCACACACTAGAAGGTGAAGGGACGACGACGTTTCGGTCCGTCCTGGACCATTCTCAATTCGATTGTTGACTTGATCGACTTGTGAATGGTCCAGGACGGACCGAAACGTCGTCGTCCCTTCACCTTCTAGTGTGTGGTCTGCTCAACATACTTTAGCCAGGTTTTTGTGACTCAACGCCCTCTAAAGATACGTTAGTGTGTGGGGAGAAGCAGCCTACAGAACGCCAATAATGCTGTACCATTTACTAGCCTTTTTCCATCAATTTTTGTCATCTAGGGAGTGTCATTTTCCCCCCTTATGAAAACCCAGTGAGCTGAGGGTTATGTAGACAGATTACGTTTTTGATCTCGGGTTTCAATTTACCGTCGCTATCAAACTGATGGTCTTAAAGTATCTTTAAACCCGTTTTCTTGCTTCTTGTATTTGTAAATACATTTTAGGGTTGTATTTTTGTAATTTGATTCACAGACTATGCAGACGATGAGTCACAATAACGTGGCTGAAATATGTTGACCAAACCACACACTAGAAAGTGAAGGGACGACGACGTTTCGGTCCGTCCTGGACCATTCTCAATCGACTTGGATTGGTCAACCTACTTCACAGACTATGTTAGTGTGAGGTAAACTATATTTTGGTTATAATTCCTTCTTTGTTTTTTCGACCTTGCGTCTTGTTGACAGAACTTAAGCTAGTTTTGTTTAGCTTAATTAATTTTTTGTTTAATAGTAGCTAGTTGCTATTACCGTGTTGTCGATTATAATTTGCGCTGTTATGCAGTTGTATACAGCTGTGTTATGCAGTTGTATACAGCTGTGTTATGCAGTTGTATACAGCTGTGTTATGCAGTTGTATACAGCTGTGTTATGCAGTTGTATACAGCTGTGTTATGCAGTTGTATACAGCTGTGTTTTGCAGTTGTATACAGCTGTCTTATGCAGTTGTATACAGCTGTGTTATGCAGTTGTATACAGCTGTGTTATGCAGTTACATACAATTCTAAGCTTCAGTTTAGCCTAGTTATTAGAGTAAATGTGGAGTCGGAGGAAATGTTCTTCTTACTGCCTTCATTATACAGTATTAGTTACATTTATCTCTATCCTCTTTGCCACGTAACTCAGACCCACGTAACTCAGACCCACGTAACTCAGACCCACGTAACTCAGACCCACGTAACTCAGACCCACGTAACTCAGACCCACGTAACTCAGACCCACGTAACTCAGACCCACATAACTCAGACCCACGTAACTCAGACCCACGTAACTCAGACCCACATAACTCAGACCCACGTAACTCAGACCCACGTAACTCAGACCCACGTAACTCAGACCCACGTAACTCAGACCCACGTAACTCAGACCCACATAACTCAGACCCACGTAACTCAGACCCACGTAACTCAGACCCACGTAACTCAGACCCACATAACTCAGACCCACGTAACTCAGACCCACGTAACTCAGACCCACATAACTCAGACCCACGTAACTCAGACCCACATAACTCAGACCCACGTAACTCAGACCCACGTAACTCAGACCCACGTAACTCAGACCCACATAACTCAGACCCACGTAACTCAGACCCACGTAACTCAGACCCACGTAACTCAGACCCACGTAACTCAGACCCACGTAACTCAGACCCACGTAACTCAGACCCACGTAACTCAGACCCACATAACTCAGACCCACATAACTCAGACCCACGTAACTCAGACCCACATAACTCAGACCCACGTAACTCAGACCCACGTAACTCAGACCCACGTAACTCAGACCCACGTAACTCAGACCCACGTAACTCAGACCCACGTAACTCAGACCCACGTAACTCAGACCCACGTTACTCAGACCCACGTAACTCAGACCCACGTAACTCAGACCCACGTTACTCAGACCCACGTTACTCAGACCCACGTAACTCAGACCCACGTAACTCAGACCCACATAACTCAGACCCACGTAACTCAGACCCACGTAACTCAGACCCACGTAACTCAGACCCACGTATGTCAGGTCTTTGTAGAGTGTATTAACTAAGAGGAGAATTCTAATAGTAGATGTTAGGTATAATACCTATCTAACGAGATAGGTATAAGCTCGTGGAAACACAAATGAGTCGACAAAATATGCCAGGAAGTACTCATACACAGTGTGGGTGGTTAACAAGTCGAATGGCCTGCTAGAAGAAGTAGTGGAAGCCACCTCCATCTGCAATTGTCAGGCCGGATTTTACTTAGAATTTAGAGTCATGAAAGTTAAGACACAGTAGGTGCTAGAGATATATATATGTTAGATAGGGGGGCCCTTTATTGTTTCAAGCGTAGGTTGGATATGTATATGAATGAAATTGGGTGGATATAAATAGGAGCTGCCTCGTATAGGCCAATAGGGCTTTTGTAGTTACCTTTATTCTTATGTTCTTATCTTCCTAGGCATTGCTGGATTAGGTAAGCAGTAGCAGAATAGAGGGAGGATTGGGACGGAGGCAGAGCGACAGGTAGATTGAGGGGATTGAAAGGAAGTAGAGGAACGTTGAAGAAGGTGGATGGAGGTGGGGAGGAAGTGTAGAGGATAGAAGAAATTAGAGCAAAAACACAATAATCATGGCAACTGCAGAAGGCCTATTGGCCCATACGAGGCCTATTTATATCCATCCAAACGTATTCATATATGTGTCTAACCTACGCTTGAAACAGTCAACGGATCCTACTGCTATTATGCTACTCGATAATTGGTCCCACAAATTTATTTATTTTATTTATTTATATATATACAAGAAGGTACATTGGGATTGTGAGGATACATAGCATAGTAATTACATTCTTATAAAGCCACTAGTACGCTCAGCGTTTCGGGCAGACCGAGTCAACTCAACTCTGTTACCGAACCAGTATTTACCCAGGTCTTTCCTAAATCTAAACTTATCCAATTTATCCTCATTGTTTCGTGTTCTGTCTTGTGTTGATACTTTTAATACCCTATTAATATTCCCTTCGTTATGCCTATACATTCACTCGTAAACCACTGTATCATGTCACCCCTAATTCCTCGCCTTTTTGGAGAATGTAATTTAAGCTTTGTCAATCTCTCTTCATATCTACGGGCTCACCATAGCCCGTGCTACATGGAACTTTTTGTTCCCAGTAGCTGAATCTTAAACAACATCTCTTCATATGAAACGTGTCTGATTATCGGGATTAACTTTGTCATCCTTCGCTGGACGCGTTCCAATAAATTTATATCCTCCTCGGAGAATAAGACGGAGAGAAAGGGAGGAAGTGGGTAAAAGGAGAGGAACTCTGAGTAAGGGATAAATAACAGTGAATAACAGCAATACTGAAAGCACGTAAGATATCATCAGGCAAATTGGCCAGCCAGATGGAAGAGTCGAGGCAGAGAAATGGACAAAAATTCATCATGAATTAGTAATGGGGCTGCAGTCCTTATTGTTGCCTCTTGCTCACTGTCAAATGTATTGGCCCCAAGACTCTATCTTCCTAATGGACACAACTGCATATCCATTTCATGTCTCTTAAGAACATACGATCATAAAATAGACGAAACATAGCTTAACAAAAAATCTAAAATATTCCTTTATATAACAGAATATATTATCACTAGAATATAGAACGTAGGTGAACTAAATAACCTATCCCCCCTCCCCCCCCCCCACGTATGAAAATTCAAAATAAAACAAAAATATATATTAGGGGGGGGGGGGTACCGAAGGCCTATATTGGCCTATGTGAAGCAGATCTTACTTCTAAAAACTACGGGCTCACCATAGCCCGTGCTACTTGGAACTTTTTGTTCCAGGTAGCGAAGCTTAAAGAACAAAACATACTTCTAAACTTTCAGTTAATTGACTTAATTACGATTGTTACTGGCAGAGGCGGCGGCGGTAGTTTATTGTGCACCCCATAATTACCCTGTTAGCGATAGTTTCTTGAGATCCTCAAACTCATTCTGTAAGCGGTAGTTCAAGATGAATTACCTCCTTATCAGAAGTCAGCGGGTGTTTTTACATCAATTACAATCAATCTTGTCACCTTATAATTACAATGACAGCCAGTAGCAGACGTCTCTCATTGTAACTTGTATGAATTCACCATATTTTGTTGGACATTGAAGGCAGGTCTCTTTGTTAATGAAAATATAATGTTGAACATTGGCTTTCGTAAGATTTTAAGCACCAAACTAGTTTGAAACAATCTTGCAATCCCAAGTCAGGTATGCTATTTGTTTTTTTATTAACACATTTAGGTACATGTGTATTTGTGCAGCTGCCCTAGACTATATGAAGGAGAGTGCAGCGTGTGTCACAAAACTAGCTACGTGATGCTAAACAATTCCCATCACATAAGGATGGTTATGATGACCAGACCACACACTAGAAATTGAAGAGACGACGACGTTTCGGTCCGTCCTGGACCATTCTCAAGTCGATTGAAGGATGGTTAGTCATACAGAGGCTGATCAGTACATACAGGTGATGAGTAGTCTACATGCTACCCAGTAATCTGCTGCAACAGTCAACAACCATACTTCCAAACCAGTATTTACCCAGGTCTTTCCTGAATCTAAACTTACCCAGTTTGTACCTATTCTTTCTAGTCACATTGTGTGTTGTATTTACTACACTAATATACTCTTTGTTACACCTTTTGATCCATTTGCGTATTTCATTCTAGATATAGATTCCAGTATCACTTTTTTCGATATTCTGTTCACTGGTAAATGATTTTTTTGGGGCTAAAGTCCCCCAGGTAATTATGACTTTCAGACTTTTATTTCGCAATTCAGATTTGGCAATTACCAGTTCTGTTGATTTAACTTGCCTCCCTGTCACTACCTGGGCTCAGTACCTGACATATGTTACCATTAAACGAGGTTGTTAAACCTTTCATTACCATTAAACGAGGTTGTTAAACCTTTCATTACCATTAAACAAGGTTGTTAAACCTTTCATTACCATCAAACGAGGTTGTTAAACCTTTCATTACCATTAAACAAGGTTCGAAAGTTTGTTAACCCTTTGGTCCATTACAAACTGAGGTGAATCGTCTTGCTGGTAGTTTGAGTCTTACTTACGTAGTTTTTAAGTAGTAGTTAAGTCCCTTAAGTAGTTTGGAGTCGAGTCTGAGATCAGAAAAGATGTTCACGATACTATTAATTTTAAACCCAAACCAATCCAACCCAATCTTTCCTGTCTGATCCTCTCCTACCTTAAGTTAATCTAAATAAACGATGCCATTTTGTTTTTATATGTGGGATGTAACGTCATTGTGACGTCATAACGTTTGTGTAACGTAACGAGCGTTGTTCCGGTGTAACAACGTTGTTAGTCGGGAACTAATTGTTGTTTAGGTAAAGGTTTAGAACCTCTGATCACTTTTTTTTCACAGTACGCAATGCAAGTAAAGTTATAAGATATAGTCTTTATGTAATTTAGACTTTATACAATTTAGACGTCATACAATTTAGACTTTATACAATTTAGACATCATTCAATTTAGACTTTATACAATTTAGATTTTATACAATTTAGACTTTATACAATTTATACATCGTACAATTTAGACATCATTCAATTTAGACTTTATACAGTTTAGACGTCATACAAATTAGACTTTATACAATTTATACCTACAAATTAGACTTTATACAATTTAGACATACAAATTAGACTTTATACAATTTAGACATACAAATTAGACGTTATACAATTTAGACGTCATACATTTTAGACGTTATACAATTTAGACTTTATATAGTTTAGACGTCATACAAAATTAGACTTCATACAATTTTTGCATTTCCCAGGAAAAATACTGCGGAAGGTTTTCATCTCCTGTCTCTGGAAGCTTAGACAGATCTCTTGCATCTGTCTACCATGCAGCCTCCAGGAGCATCATTTTACCCATTGCACATCCGAGTCACGTCTTGGGCCTAAAACCGCATCTCTTCAGTATGTCATACTAATCCTTACCGGCTCCCTCCCACCGGCAGCATTTCCTTGCTTCCTGGGGGTATGTATCCTTCAGTCAATGTTATCAGCATCACGTGGACTGACTCCCAACATCACTAACAGACATGCCAACATCACTAACAGATCTGCTAACATCAACAGGCCTGCCAACATCACTAGCAGATCTGCTAACATCACCAACAGATCTGCTAACATCAACAGACCTCCCAACATCACCAACAGACCTGCCAACATCACCAACAGACCTGCCAACATCACCAACAGACCTCCCAACATCACCAACAGACCTGCCAACATCACCAACAGACCTACCAACATCACCAACAGACCTACCAACATCACCAACAGACCTACCAACATCACCAACAGACCTCCCAACATCACCAACAAACCTACCAACATCACCAACAGACCTACCAACATCACCAACAGACCTACCAACATCACCAACAGACCTCCCAACATCAACAAACCTACCAACATCACCAACAGACCTACCAACATCACCAACAGACCTCCCAACATCACCAACAGACCTCCCAACATCACCAACAGACCTGCCAACATCACCAACAGACCTACCAACATCACCAACAGACCTCCCAACATCACCAACAGACCTGCCAACATCAACAGACCTGCCAACATCACCAACAGACCTACCAACATCACCAACAGACCTACCAACATCACCAACAGACCTCCCAACATCACCAACAGACATGCCAACATCGCTAACAGACCTGCCAACATCACCAACAGACCTACCAACATCACCAACAGACCTCCCAACATCACCAACAGACATGCCAACATCACTAACAGACATACCAACATCACCAACAGACCTCCCAACATCACCAACAGACCTCCCAACATCACCAACAGACCTGCCAACATCACCAACAGACCTCCCAACATCACCAACAGACCTGCCAACATCACCAACAGACCTGCCAACATCACCAACAGACCTACCAACATCACCAACAGACCTCCCAACATCAACAGACCT